GTTTACACTGGTTTTTGGTCTGCAGTACCAGTCTTAATTTAACATTTTAACCATGAGATGGTGCTGTTGAACACATTTATTCTAAAAGTCTGTAAAGTTTATCAGCATACACCTCTGTTTCATATCAGTTTACTTTTAAACAAATTATATTTATTTTTTTATATTCTACTGCCAATATTGGACTTAAAAAAACTCAAAACGCAAACCTCAGGGCTTTTTTTTTTTTTTGCTAACACAAACTTAAACATTGGTGATGTATTTCAAATCCTAGACCAAGAAAACTGTGTCTATGTTTTCCCCTAAACACTGTAAAATGATTTTCTTACATAACTCAGTGTTTTCCTTGCATTAAAAACTGGTATAGAAAGAACCACTCAGACCTTCTACTTGATTCCAAGAGGTCTGAATGAGAACATTGTTCAACAGATTAAGATATTTCTTCAACATCTTTATGAATTTTCTTGTATTTAATGAATATTTTGGATCAAATCCCAAAAGAAATGTGTACACAAATGAAATAGCTGGTGCAAAACATCATCTTATACTAACTATTCACATTTTAAAAGCCATATTTTCCAGCCAGAAAGCCCAATGCTGGTGCTCAAATTATCATTAGGAAACATGAAAAGTATTATGTAGAAAAAGAAGACAACAGTGTGATAAACCTTTTGATATACGATACAGAGTTTGTTTTGGTAATTTATTCTGTCGAGAAAATACTCTGCTGTATGTGGATTAAATCCTAAGTTGTTTATTAGGTAAATAAATAAATGAAATGACTTCAGCTCAGTTGTATTTGTGCGTTTCTGTCAGTCTTTTTCTGGAGTTAAATGTTTCTCCTTCATCACTGATGAAGAGGCTCTGAACCCTTCACCCCAGAAGTCCACCAAGAGCGATGGGTGTAAACATGATGACTTGATTGTTCTGATTATGTTACTAAATTAGGTTTTATCTCTTAACTTTTTATCAGCTATTGACAGATTGTATCAATAAACTGATCAATTGACTCTTTTTGTTAAGCATTCTTACTGATCAGCAGTTAAAAGATAAGGTTTAAAGTCAGAGGTTTAAAAAGTCCAGTCACCACATCACATTGTCATGACAGATCCTCCCTCATACACATACTTTGTTCTTCGTGAGTTTTACATGTGTATACAGCAAACCCTGTTTGTGTGTGGCAGGTCCCAAGGTGATGAGGTGAGAGTGCCTGACTCTGACAGCAACAGTCACTGGTGTGGAATCTCCATGATCCACACGTCAGCCGCCGACGCCAGCGGAGATGCCAGCTCAGAGCCAGGAGCTACTGTCAAATCCCTCATAAAGTCCTTTGATACTGTTGAACAGAGTGAGCAGCGAGCACTTCCACACACACACACACATACACTGACGAGGCATCTCCTCGCATCAGTGTAACTGTAGAGCCGAACAGCTGATGAGATGATGCAACATCCAGCATGAATATCTGCCGTTTCTCTGCAGCGAAGGCCTTTTCTCCTGTACTCGACTGTCTTGCCTGAGCTGACCCGAGTCAGGTCAGACAGGATTTGTATTTGTGAGACATCTGTGACGGATGAGATGTTTTGAGCTTAAGTGCTGCAACAATGCAGATGGTTTTCCTAGTGATATTCTCTGAAATTTTCACCACATCAAAAGAAAATGTTTACAAAAGTGCTGCATCGTACATACAGGCGCTGCTCAAAAAATTATATCATAAAAAAAGTTGATTTATTTCACTAATTCCATTCAAAAAATGAAATGTGTATATTCAGTCATTACACACAGACTGATATATTTCACATGTTTATTTCTTTTAATGTTGACTAATTAAAAAAAGGGGTTTTAGAAATGTTGGCCAACTGAAAAGTATGAACATGAAAAGTATGAGCATGTACAGCACTCAATGCTTAGTTGGGGCTCCTGTTTGCCTGATTACTGCAGCAATGCAGCGTGGCATGGAGTCGATCGGTCTGTGGCACTGCTCAGGTGTCATGAGAGCCCCGGTTGCTCTGATAGTGGCCTTCAGCTCTTCTGAATTGTTGGGTCTGGTGTATCACATCTTCCTTTTCACAATACCTCATAGATTTTCTATGGGGTCAAGGTCAGGAGAGTTTACTGGCCAGTTTAGAACAGGGATACCATGGTCCTTAAACCAGGTACTGGTAGCTTTGGCACTGGGTGCAGGTTCCAAGTCCTGCTGGAAAATGAAATCTGCATCTTCATAAAGCTGGTCAGCAGCAGGAAGCATGAAGTGCTCTAAAACTTCCTGGTAGACAGCTGCGTTGACCTTGGAGCTCAGAAAACACTGTGGACCAACACCAGCAGATGACATGGCACCTCAAATCATCAGTGACGGTGGAAACTTGGCACTGAACCTCAAGCAATGTGGATTATGTGCCTCTCCTCTTCCTCCAGACTCTGGGACCTTGATTTCCAAATGAAATGCAAAATTTACTTTCATCAGAGAACATAACTTTGGACCACTCAGCAGCAGTCCCAGGCGAGATGCTTCTGATGCCATCTCTTGTTCAAGAGTGGCTTGACACAAAGAATGCAATGGCTGAACCCTTTGTCTTGCATACGTCTGAGCATGGTGGTTTTTGAAGGACTGACTCCAGCTGCAGTTCACTCTTTGTGAATTCCCCCAACATTTTAGAATGGGTTTTGTTTCAGCATCCTCTCCAGGGTGCAGTTATCCCTATTGCTTGTACACTTTTTTCTACCACATCGTTTCCTTGGCTTCACCTCTCTATTAATGTGCTTGGACACAGAGCTCTGTGAACAGCCAGCCTCTTTAGCAATGACCTTTTGTGTCTTGCCCTCCTTGTGCAAGGTGTCAATGGTCATCTTTTGGACAACTGTCAAATCAGCAGTCTTCTCCATGATTGTGTAGCCTACAGAACTAGATTGAGAGACCATTTAAAGGCTTTTGCAGGTGTTTTGAGTTAATTAGCTGATTAGAGTGTTACGCCAGGTGTCTTCAATATTGAACCTTTTTACAATATTCTAATTTTCTGAGATACTGAATTTGGGGTTTTCATTCATTTTCAGTTATAATCATCAACATTAAAAGAAATAAACATTTGAAATACTGTATGTCAGTCTGTGTGTAATGAATGAATATAATATACAAGTTTTACTTTTTAAATGGAATAACTGAAATAAATCAACTTTTTCATGATACTCTAATTTTATGACAAGCAGCTGTATATTCATAGCATTATCAAAAATGACATTTTGTTTATAATTAGTACTTTAAATTTATATAACATGATAACAAAAACTGCAAAAGTTGAGTTTTTCCTTGAAAAAGTATACAATTCCATTTCTGAAACTGTTAGAAATTTGTGTAAAATATAAATAAAAAGTCAACACAATGATTTTTACATCGCATAAACTCATTTTTTATTCAAAATGAAACAAAGTAAACACGTCAAATGCTAAATCTTAGAAATTGTACCATTGTTTAGGAAAAAGTTAATTTTTTGTTTGATGGCAGCAACACATCTTAAGAAAGTTGGAACAGGGCCATGTTTATTTGCTGGTAACGTCTGAGGAGACAGTTGCTGGAGTTTTTGGAGAGGACTGACGTCCCATTTTTATATGCCCTAAAAAGTATATTACATTATGATGAGTTGTCTGTCTCTGTCTGTCCTTATAGCAGGTTTTGTGCTGCACACTTTCTTACTAGAGTTAAAAGCACGTTGTTTTAAAACTTTTAAATACTTTTCTGTATTGATGGTGTCTTTCCAGACATGTAAGCTGCCCATTCCTAGACAATAATGCACCCTCATACAATCAGCAAGGCAGGCTTTTGAACTGCACACTTATGGTCCCTCTCCTCTTTAGAACAAATGACCCCCCCCCACACACACACACACACACACACACACACCCCAAAAAAATTTTTTTTTTTCAAAACAGTTTTCATTTCATCAAAGTTCTTGCTCAATAATTCAGGTATAAAATCCAACAATGTTCAGTCAGGTCATCTGGACGGTTTATTTTTTGTGCTGAGATGTTTTGTCTGTCAGCCAATGGACTTCTTCAGCCTGAGGAACCACCAAACAAAACTGATTCTCCACCAACAGCATATTCCAAAGTGGAAAAACAGTTTTGTTGGTGCTAAGATGGCCTCTGGGGCCCACCCTCTGGGTTTCCCAGTTTCCATTTCAGTTCAGTACATTCTAAATTAGCCTTTGCCCAAAGAAGACAGTGACGTTTCTGGTTTCTGGTTTTCACATGTGGCTTGTTCTTTGCGTGACAGAGCTTTAACCAATATTTGTGGATGGGATGGTAAACTGAGTTTACAGACATTAATTTGTTAAAACAGAAAAAAAATACACATTTAACGTGTGAGTTCTGATCTGTAGTAAAACTTGAGGATTAGAGGCCATGGGGAGACTATGAGACGAAGCAGACAACATTGATTTATTAAAATGAGTCCATAGATGTCCATGACACAATCAGTCCTGTTCAGGCGTTTCGGATATGTCCAACTAAGAAGATACCCTGGGAAAGACCCCGGACACACCAAAAAGACTTTGTCTCATGGCTGGCCTGAGGAAAGAGGCGTCTGTAGAAAGAAATGTCTGGGCCTCACTGCGACCAGACTCTGGTCTGGAACCAGCTTTTATGGATAACACAATTTCTTAGTTTAAACATTTTAATTTATTCCAGCTTTTTTCAATTTATATATCTGACCAGACAGTCGTTACATTAAATGTTTCAGTGGTTAATTGAATTCCACACAATGCATGCAATAATAATTTGATAATGTAAGGTGATGCAGCAACTTGTTTTGAAATGGTACTCAGAACGACCCTGGATTTTGCAGATGGACCAGCCCACACACTTCAAATGTATTCCTCACTAAGGAGCCCGCTGAGTGCCATTCCTGTTCGCACGGCTCCAGCTGCAGCCGTCTCTCCCATCCAGGTATTCATCCACTCAGTTGTCTTTTTAAAATGTATGCACTTTAATCTAGAGAATGTGTGTCAGGTTGTAATAAGGTGCTTTTGTTTTTGTTTTCTTTTAGAGGCACACATACATAAAACCACTATCAAAGACACTGGAAAAAAGAATAAACCACGGAGAGTTCTCTCTTTCTCGGGGTATGTAAGATTCAGATTTTTTTTTTTAACGAGTGTGAAATCCATCCTTTACTGCTTCATCCGGCAGAGGCACCCAGGTATCTGTAGCTCATTCCAGATGACTTTAGACAATATGAAACTTCCAGCCTCTCGCCTCCATCTGTCCTTCCTGAGTCTGGTCCAGCAGGATCTGTCTTCCTGTTCAATTCTGTTCTACACCAACTCCCACCTTTTGCACGTCCAGGATGCAGATTTGAATCAAACCGATGATTCAGTGCAATTTGTTGGTGTTCATTGATGGACAACGTTTTTAACATGTTAAATTTGCATATCATGATTCTAACTAGGGTTTGAACGACTACATATTTTTTAAAGTCGACTTTAACATGATAAAAGTCGAGTCGACGTTGACTAGTCGATGTTGTCATAGGAACTCAAGATGCTATATTATATTGGCTAAAAAATAAATAAAAATTGCAGGAAACCTTTCATTTATTATTTACAAAAAATAAAAAATAACTATCGGGCGTATATTTATACTCCTACCATTTGTCATACTGCATATAAATCACAGGAAAACCAAAACTATTATTAAGCTGCAAAAGTGAAAGAAACATGCGGCATGTAAAAAACAAGGCTAATAACAGCGGGGCGGGCGGTGGTGGAGTCCAACACTGCCCACTCTGCTGTACTTAGTTTTATTTTATTTCATCCACCACGTGGATTGGGTGGAATAGGGCTGAGAACAGCGGGGTGAGCGGTGGTGACTGCAACTAACTGACGTGAAATATAAAAACTCATGAGACATCTTACAATCGACTAGTTGACTATCTTCAACCCCTAATTCTGTCCATATTGAACTGAATTGGAATCTGAATTAGATTTGATTGAATTGAGCTGTAACTGGAACTCCATCTTTTCAACACATTAAAACATTTGTTGGTGCTACATGAATAGTTTGGATAGTTGAAGCTGGACAGCTCAAAAGTCTGTCTCAAAGACACAGACGTCCTTTGGCCATTTATAACTTGTAACTTTACCTCAGATTGCTCTGTCTAAGGAAACTGGTCACCTGGAGAAAACCCCTGCTGGTGCTGCAGGTTGAACATGCAGACAGTGAGGCGATGGTGCTAACCACTGTTCCTCCTGTTCAGTTTACAGATTTAATTAGCTGTCATGTGGTTGAATGGTGGTTAAGGTCAAAGAACTACTACGAGTCAGTATCCTCACTAAAGATAAAATGAAAAGGAACTATGACTTGCAAACATCCGGCTTCTTCTGACTGTCAAAGATTTCAATATATGTTATGTTAAAAACTGATTGTGTAAATGTGGTACCCAGAACTTAAAATGCTCTCAAACAACTCACAGAGGACAAGTTTGTAAAAGTCCCTGTGGAACAGTTAAACATTGTTTCCAGAGTGGAATGAAATATTTTCAGGATACTGTTTGGGTTTATTTATTTATTTTACTCTTTGGTCACATTCTCTTGTGTCTCCTTCCTTTTCTTGCATCTTTTGACTCCACAGATAAGTTGTCAAGCTTTGGGGAGGACCTGAAACCTACCAGCCTCATGAGGAAGAGCCCATCTCTGGAGAGTGTTTTAAAAAGCCCTGCTTCCCTCAGCAGCCACACTGCATTGTTCAGCTTCAGCCGAGGCCACAGCAGGCTCAGGTGGGAATACTCTGCACACATTAAACACAATAAACTATGATTTTATCCTCTGCTGTTAGTCGTGATTACAGGTTAGAACAATCAAGCTAAAAGGATACCTGCAAACTTTCGAAGTGAGGTTTTATAACACATTTATAAACAATTAAAAAATAAATGTCCAGTTCTACATAGCTCTTTGAGCACAAGCCATTTTGAAAGAAACAGATTTTTAGTTAAATCAGTTTATAGCTCTGTTTGTTTTTTAAGGTTAAAGCTTTTGATTAAGTGAAGACTGGCCCCTGTGAAAAGTTTTTTTGACAGGACATTTAGGCTTCTAGGGTTCAAATGCTTCAGACATAAAATTAATGAATTTAACAGCAAAGCTGCAGCGACGTGTTAAATGTTTACCGTACTGAGAGCAACCCATGGCTCATGGTCTTCCCATGGCCTCTAACCCTCAAGTTTTACTACAGATCAGAACTCACTGAATGTGAGTTACACTCACAATACACTCAATGTGTATTTTTTTCTGGATAGTAGAGCAGATGGTGAAAACTGTAAGCCTTTGAGAATAAGACCATGGAGGTGGAGGGATGCCAAATATATATATATTGCTAGTGTTTTACACTTACCGCCTGCAGTCTGGACATTGCATTGAGTTGGTTTCACTCCAGAATCATCACGACTCAACTCTGAACTCTAAAACAAATAAACTATCCATCCATCCATCCATTTTCTTCCGCTTATCCGGGGTCGGGTCGCAGGGGTAGCAGCCTAAGTACGGAGGCCCAGACTTCCCTCTCCCCAGCCACTTGGGCCAGCTCTTCCGGGGGAATCCCGAGGCGTTCCCAGGCCAGCCGAGAAACATAGTCCCTCCAGCGTGTCCTGGGTCTTCCTCTGGGCCTCCTTCCGGTGGGACGTGTCCGGAACACCTCACCAGGGGGGCGTCCAGAAGGCATCCTAAACAGATGCCCAAGCCACCTCAACTGGCTCCTCTCGACGTGGAGAAGCAGCGGCTCTACTCCGAGTCCCTCCCGGATGATCGAGCTTCTCACCCTGTCTCTAAGGGAGAGCCCAGACACCCTGCGGAGAAAACTCATTTCGGCCGCTTGTATCCGAGATCTCATTCTTTCGGTCACAACCCAAAGCTCGTGACCATAGATGAGGGTGGGAACGTTGATCGATCGGTAAATTGAGAGCTTCGCCTTTTGACTCAGCTCTCTCTTCACCACGACAGACCTGTACAGCGCCCGCTTCACTGCAGATGCTGCACCTATCCGCCTATCGATCTCACGCTCCATTTTTCCCTCATTCGTGAACAAGACCCCAAGATACTTGAACTCCTCCACTTGGGGCAGGACCTCCTCCCTGACCCGGAGAGGGCACTCTACCCTTTTCCGGCTCAAGACCATGGCCTCGGATTTGGAGGAACTGATCTTCATCCCGGCCGCATCGCATTCGGCTGCGAACCGCTCCAGCGAAAGCTGTAGATCACGATCTGATGAAGCCAATAAGACCACATCATCTGCAAAAAGCAGAGACGCAATCCTAAGGCCACCAAAACGGATCCCCTCAACACCTTGGCTGCGCCTAGAAATTCTGTCCATAAAAGTTATGAACAGAATCGGTGACAAAGGGCAACCTTGGCGGAGTCCAACTCTCACCGGGAACAAGCCCGACTTACTGCCGGCGATGCGGACCAGGCTCTGACACCAGTCATACAGGGACCTAACAGCCCGTATCAAAGGGCCCGGTACCCCATACTCCCAGAGTACCCCCCACAGGGCCCCCCGAGGGACGCGGTCGAACGCCTTCTCCAAGTCCACAAAGCACATGTAGACTGGTTGGGCAAACTCCCACGCACCCTCCAGGACCCTGCTGAGAGTGTAGAGCTGGTCCAGTGTTCCACGGCCAGGACGAAAACCGCACTGTTCCTCCTGAATCCGAGGTTCGACTATCCGACGGACCCTCCTCTCCAGAACCCCCGAATAGGCCTTACCAGGGAGGCTTAAGAGCGTGATTCCCCTGTAGTTGGAACACACTCTACGGTCCCCCTTTTTGAATAGGGGGACCACCACCCCGGTCTGCCAATCCAGGGGAACTTCCCCCGATGTCCACGCAATATTGCAGAGTCACGTAAGCCAACACAACCCTACAACATCCAGAGCCTTAAGGAACTCTGGGCGAATCTCATCCACCCTTGGGTCCCTGCCACCGAGGAGCTTTTTAACCACCTCGGTGACCTCAGCACCAGAGATTGGAGGGCCCGACCCAGAGTCCCCAGGCTCCGCTTCCTCAGTGGAAGACGTGCCGGTGGGATTGAGGAGGTCGTCAAAGTATTCCGCCCACCGACCCACAACATCCTGAGTTGAGGTCAGCAGCACACCACTCCCACTATAAACAGTGTTGGTGGCGTACCGCTTTCCCCCCCTGAGACGCCGGATGGTGGACCAGAATCGTCTCGAAGCCGTGCGGAAGTCGTTCTCCATGGCCTTTCCGAACTCTTCCCATGCCCGAGTTTTTGCCTCAGCAACCACCCGAGCCGCCTGTCGCTTGGACTGCCGGTACCCATCAGCTGCTTCCGGGGTCCCACAGGCCACAAAGGCCCGATAGGACTCCTTCTTCAGCCTGACAGCATCCCTCACCGACGGTGTCCACCATCGGGTTCGAGGGTTGCTGCCGCGACAGGCACCGACAACCTTGCGGCCGCAGCTCTGGTAAGCCGCCTCGACAATAGAGGCACGAAACATGGTCCACTCAGACTCAATGTCCCCCACCTCCCTCGGAACATGTTCAAAGTTCTCCCGGAGGTGGGAGTTGAAACTCCGTCTCACAGGAGACTCTGCCAGACGTTCCCAGCAAACCCTCACAATACGTTTGGGTCTGCCAGGTCTGACCGGCATCCTCCCCCACCATCGGAGCCAACTCACCACCAGGTAGTGATCAGTTGACAGCTCCGCCCCTCTCTTCACCCGAGTGTCCAAGACATGTGGCCGCAGATCAGATGAGACGATGACAAAGTCGATCATCGAACTGCGGCCTAGGGTGTCCTGGTGTCAAGAGCACATATGGACACCCTTATGCTTGAACAAGGTGTTCGTTATTGACAATCCATGACGAGCACAGAAGTCCAACAACAGAACACCACTCTGGTTCAGATCAGGGGGGCCGTTCCTCCCAACCACACCCCTCTAGCGATGGGGTGAGAAGTTAGGTTATCTGGGAGACACAATGAGTAGAACCGCTGCTCCTCCACATCAAGAGGAGCCTGTCGAGGCGATTCAGGCAACTGGTAAGGAGGCCTCACTAGGGAGGTTTTATGGACATGGTCAACTGGGAGGAAACCCCTGGAAGACCCAGGGCATGCTGGAGAGACATGGTCTCTCGACTGGACTGGAATGCCTTAGATAATGAATGGATGGATGGTACCTTTTACACTTTTGCAACCCACTGTAGGACCGACTTTTAAAAAGTTAAAACTGTAAGAAATCTGTCCAGTACAGCATGTTGAGAATTCTCAAGTTTGCTTAAAAAACTGAGTCTGAAACTTAACAAAATTCACACTTATTGAAAGAGCAACCCACAATATAGTCTATTCTATTATTATTGTAGATGGCACACATTTATATGTTTGGCCCTAATATAATCATAATATAACCATCTAAGTGTGCCTGACTTCACCTCTGATGATTCTGTTTACACTGGTTTTTGGTCTGCAGTACCAGTCTTAATTTAACATTT